ATTGGACTGTTTAGCACAGCAGGTTTTAGATGCACAGCAACAATTAGCATATGTTGATATGGTAGGCAGTCACAACCTGGTACAGGCAACCTCAGTAGCATGCAGCATAGCATTGAAAACTGGCATATACTGCATATATACTGGCATAGGCCACTGTGCCAGGGAATCAGCAGGTGCTTTCATGAGATAGTAGCTATATTAGTGTAATGACCTCTAATCAGGTCGCTTTCAAGTATTGAACCCAGCATCTCTGAATCTCAAAGCATGAGCCCTCTACTAATGGGAGCTAAAGGACCAAGTCCATCAGCTATGAGGCAGTAACAGACTCAAACCTCTTTGGTATAACCATTGGAGGCACCCAAAGAGCCACTATTCAGTTTATTACACCGATTGGTTCTATCCCACATACATACAGAGGCAAGATCCTTACATAATGCCATATTACCACAGTAGCTGGGTGGTTGGGAAGCTGCCTTATCCTACTGCCTGCTGACTAGGCAAATACTTTGGTGAGCACTGCCAGGCCTGGGGACTGCTTCAGAACATTCATAGCCCTTGTTTGGTTTAAAATGTTTATACTTTTATTTATGTCTTTCCCTCATTTCAGTGTAGAATCCAGAGATGGAAGTGTTCTGTGACAGAAGGCAATGCAACTCTGGGGAGTGGATGGGTTCTTTTGTTTTTACACTCCCTCTACCCCTAAACCAGTCTTTTTTGCTGCCCCTGCCCCTTTCATGTGGTAGCAGATCCTGAGGAGGCTGAGAGTTCTAGGGATTTATTTGGGAGGAAAGGGGCTGAGAAACAGTGTTGTCTGGAGCACCATGGAAAGTTAAATAGCAGTTTTTACTCAATCATTCAAAAGAGAGGGAGAGCTGGCCATAGTGAGCCATTGCTTAGCACTAACATTCTGTCTGGCACTGTATAGTATACTAAAAGATTGTAAACTTTTCAGAGCAGTCTAAATGCATCGGTTTATATGTCTTTAATGTAACTTTAGAAAACGTATTCTCTTGTTTTGTTTTTCATAACTCCAGTATCTGGGAAATTATCCTGAGGCAACAATCTTAGGCCCTTCTATAGTGCTTAGCACTGCAGTACGTAAGTATTACTGTGATGGGGTGAACTCACCATGTATTGGACAGGAAAGCGTTAACCCCTCCTTGCGGGCTGAGGAAGCCCTGTCCTCACAGCCCTACTGGGCATGCCCCAAGTGCAGTACCAGTATAAGAGTGAGCAACTCAGCTTGGTCTGGGCAGACCACCGGAGAGAAAAGACATCCGTTGCAGCTCCAGCCTCAGAGCCACAGCAGACCCCAAATGCAGAAGCCGGAGGCACTGATACACCGGCAGATTCCCCGGTACGTGTAGACACTCCAGGGACTTCGGAGCCACCGGGAATAGCCCAGGCAGAGGAAACCAGGAACCCCGAAGCTGCCCAGACCATGGACGCAGGAGTCATGATAGGAAGTAGCCATAGGGAGGAACTAACCATAGTTCCAACCACAGTCTGCGTGTTGCGGCTGGATCCCCACTCAGTGGTGAGTGCCCGGGTCCCCCTGCCTTGACTGCCACCCCCCTCCAGGGGGCAGCCTGCCACCCTATTGACTCTGGCCATCAGGCCCTATTGCCCTGCGAACCAGGGCCAGTCTATTGACTCTGGCCGCTAGGCCTTACTGCCCTGCAGACCAGAGTAACCCTATCAACCCTAGTCCTTAGGTCTCACTGCCTTGAGGTAAAGGATAGCTTGAGGGATGGTGTGAACTCATCCCATCACAGTTACTACCAGATCACTGAAAACTCTGAGCTATACTAATTTAAGTACAACAGTCTGTTGGTCTTAGCTTAACACTGAATGTTTACTAGTGGTAAAGTATTTTTTTTTCCCCAGCAGCAGAAGCAAGCAATTTAACTTTATTAAATTGTATTAACTATGTTTGTAAAGCATCCAGCAAAATGGGTCCCAGAATGTGGTTGGAGCCTCTAGATGCTACAGTAAGACATATAATTTTTCGTCAGAACTCCCTACAGCCATTTTCCACAGTCCTTTTTAAAAATGTACTCCAAAGTTCTGGTAGATCTGAATTTCAAGTGAGGAATTTATCATTTTCTGTGAGACCTCTTTTGGGAATTTAAAATATGCTTAGTTTCTCTTGGCTAAATCAAGATGCTCCATTTATTAATTTGAACACCTTTAGCATAAAAGATAAATGTAACAGTAAGATAATTTTAAAAAATGGAAGGCAGATAAATCTAATGTTTGCCAAGTGGATGAGGCCCCAATTCCTGAGGGACTGTATTTTATTTTTAAGCGGTTATGGATACACTGACAAATAGGGAGCAGTGATAAGGGGAGCTTACTTACTGTAATGGGAGGTTCTTCAAGATGTGTTGTCCCTATGTGTATTCCACACATGGGTATGCATGCACGCCATACGCTCAAGTCGAATTCTTTAAAGCAGTGTCCATTCACCAATACATGCGCAATAGCTCTTCTTGTGCTCCCAACCGAGGGCATAAGGGGCAGGTTGACACTTCTCCAGTTCCCTCTCATCACAAGATAACAGGATCCAAAACAGAGGGGAAGGAGGGCAGGTAGTGGAATACAGACAGGGACCACACTCCTCAAAAACCTACAGTTACAATAAGTAGCCTCCCTTTCTTCTTCAAGTCCTAATCCCTGTGTGTATTCTCCATATGGGTGACTAGCAAGCAGTGCTCAGAGTAAAGAAGGGTGCAAGGATGTTTGTAGCAGAGATGCCTGTACTACTGCTGTTCATATGGCCACATCCACAGCTGTGGCTTGAATGTGTAGTGCAAGGCAAATGTGTGGACAGAGCTCCAAGGTGCTGTTCTGCAGATGACTGCAGCAGAAGGTCCAATAAGGAGGCTGTGGAGGCTGATTGTGCTCATGTGGAATGAGTAGTATTTCCTAAAAGGGGGAGGGGGAAGTTTAGCTAGTACCCCTCTAGTATAAATCCCAAAACACACTTAGAAATCCTCTGTGAGACCTGTCCATGTGACCTTTCTACTATGGTGACAAAAGGTCTCCAAGTTTTTCTAATGGGTTTAGTTCTCTGTAGGTAGAATGCGAGGGCTCACCTGATGTCAATGGAGTGAAGTCTCTTGTCTCAGAAAGAAACGTGGTTTTGGAAGAAATACAGGTAAGTGGATCGATTAGTTAACATGGAACTCAACCAATCATGGGGAGGAATTTGGGGTATAACCTAAGGGAGACATTCTCTTTGTAGAATACTCTGTACAGGTGGTCTGCCATCATGGCTCCGAGCTCACTGACCAGCATAGCCAAAGTGAATGCCACTAAGAATACCACCTTCATAGAGAGGTAGGTCATGGCAATGTTGCCGTAGGTTCGAAGGACAAACCTGTGAATATCGACAGGACACGGTTAAGGTCCCATTGAGGCGTAGGTTTAATAACCAGTGGGAAGGTCCTGATAAGCCTTTCATAAATTGCACGGTGGTCAGGTGTATAAAGACAGAATGTCTCTCCACCAGAGGGAGGAAGGCACTGATAGCTGCTAGGCGTATCCTAACAAGGACTGAAGTCTAAGCAGAGGAGGTAGTCTAGGATGATCAGAATGTCCACAGTATCAGGCATATGGTGGTGGTGATGTATCCAGGCCGAAAAAAACTGCGTTTCAGTCCAATAGCAGGCTCTAGTAGAATCCGTTCTACTTTGACTAAGGATTTCCTGGACAGAGATAGAGCATGAGTGTTCTATTTCCAATGCCCACCCAAAATTCAGGCTGTGAGGTAGAGTGAGCCCAGGTTGTAGTGCTTGATTTCCCCCACATAAGCGGATTCGGATAGGTGGGCGCATGAACATTATTAGAAGTTCTGAGAACCAGAACTGTCTGTGCCAGTAGGGTGCGAGGAGGATGATGGTAGCCCTTTTGTGACACATTTTCAGTAGAAATTGTGGCAGCAGGAGGAAGGGAAGAAAGGCATATTTGAGGCCATCTGTCCAGGGGAATAGGAGAACACCACCCTGGGAATCATGGCCTATAGTTCTCCTGGAGTAATACATGCGGAGCTTCCTGTTCATCTGAGACGCAAAGAAGTCCCATACGGGAGTACCCCACTGTAGAAATATGTTGGTTAGAACTGTGTCGTATATCTCCCATTCATGTCTGTGGAGAAACTTCTGCTCAGCTTGTCTGCCAAGGAGTTGTGAATGCCCAGAACGTAGGCAGCCTGTATCGTAATGTGGTTTCCAAAACACCAGTTCTAAAGTCTGACAGGACAGGGGGGTAAAGAAGATGATGAGGGAATTTATCCTACACCAACGATAACCTTAGGCGAACTAAAACTACAAAACTAGATATCAAAACTATTTAGAACGAGTTTACTTTGCAGGTTACACACTGAAGGCGGACGCAATTTCAACTCAGACCACGCAGCAGTAAAAAGGACCTGCACCACCCCTTATACCCTTGCTCAGGAACACGAGTGGTCAACGGACACAGCTTTGAAGAATTTCCAGGGGGCTCCTGATGCGGAGGGGGTGTGGTAGAGGGATCCCTGTACAGGGAGCTGCTTCCCTTGTCCGCCCAACTCCTGTGTATCCACCCATCTCCTCCCCCCGAACTTCGTGTAGCCAGGGGAAGTTTCTGGGACTTGATCTGACCCAGGCCCAGCTGCTCCATGCAGGAAAGGAGGAGGGGGAGGAAGAACTCAGTTACAACTGGGTGGGGGAGTGGGGGGAGGATGGAGATTAACGTCCTGTGCAGCTGGGGCATTCCCAGACCTCCCCTCCCCCCAGTGAGTTACCTCGCCCCCCCAGCTGCCCAAACAGATGTGTCTGTGCTGCCAAGCAGGGGTGATGAGTATGGGTGCAGCTTCTCTTTGCTTCCCCACAGAAACCATTTTCTTCAAGGAAGCAAAGAAAATCTGCAAGGGGGGGAAATTTTTACATTGCGCCACAGTGGCGCAGAATTTCCCTAGGATAGCTTTTCAATGTTTATGGTAAAAGACTACTTACCTATACAGTTTTTGGATTGCATGGGCTGCATTTTTTCTAACATAAGGAGATAAATCAGCAGAAGCTTCTTTAATAGCAAGCATCATAATAGGAACAATAATTGGCACACGAATACTAGATAAAACTCTCAAAGCACTTGCACGGATTAACTGATTAGGATCCTAAAAAGAATGGAAACAAAACAATATAAGTAACACTGCAGAAATTTATCATTATTAAAACATGTAGTAAATACTGCAATGACGGAGGACATATTAAGCCACGTGAATGCCATTTTTTTCTTTTACTGTTATTAGTCTGGCTTTAATTTCAAGTTCACATTGCTATCATGCAAATTTATGTGAAACTTGCCACAAGAAAAAGTTTCAACAAGAATACTGCATATATTATGAGGAGCTGCCAGACATAACACCACATTAACAAGTTTTATTTATGCTAATGAAAACAGGAAAAATGAAGGCAAAAGATGATGAGGGAAAGAGAATTGTTACAAAATATAATACATTTTTCTATTTATAATTGTAAAGTCTTTCACAAATTCAGGCATTTTTAAAGTCGTATAACCCAGATCAATCTTAATATTACGTACTGCTTCCCCATACGTCAAGATTGTCAAATAGAAAAAAATAAATTAAACATGAATGCTGCAACGAAAGAGATGCCTTTTCTAACATCTTCGCCTTTTCAGCAATAAATCCTTTTTAATCATTCTATTTAAAAAAAAAAAAGAAAAGAAGAAAAAAAGAAATGCCCTTCTCCTACAGTCAGTGGGGATGAATCTTGAACAGACTACAGGGGATATACGTAGTACCCTGGTGCAGAGTGGTAAGAGATGGACGTGAAAGCATATGCATAGCAGGAGGGGTTGCTGCTGTTGCTCCAGATCTGCCACCTTCCCACTGGCTGGCGATAGGGGAACAGGCTAGCCAGATGGCTATTGCCCCCTCTCTCAGATTTAAATTCACCTTGGAATTTCAAAAGTCTCTTGTTCCACTAGTTACTGCTCCAGCAAGCATCACCCGTCAAGGCATACCAGGTGCTACTACACACAGGCAGTACCAGGAGAGGATGGGAATGACAGACACACAGGAAAAGTAAGTAGCAGTGGAGCAGGAGAGGCATTTACATACTGGGACCCCATCATTCCCACCTCCCTGGGGGGCACTCAAGTATCAGGACCCCATCCTCCATGGGAGCTGCACAGGAGTCAGGATGCTGCAGTGGGGACTACATCCTGTTTCTCCCCACTCCTGCCCATATGGCCCCCCTGCCAGTGGCAAGCTCTGGGAGCCATGCTGGAGGCACCATGGGGCAGTGGAGGCAGCTGTTGCTCCACCTGAAGCTGCCAGGTACAAATGAACGACTGGGAAGTGTGAGAAACTTTGCTCACTCGATTTAACAGGGTATCTGGGGGATGCAATTGGACACTGGGAACAAAGATTCAGGTACAGTCCGATGCAAAAAACTCCATTGCCTCCAGGCCTTTCAGGGTTTAAGAGGCCAGTTTAGTGGAATTTGCAGAATGTAGAGTTAAGAAAAGATTCCAGCATGTTCAGCCCATCCTTGGGTATCAAATGATAAGATATGCAGTATCTCTCTGGTACACCCTGGATTGGCTTCATCCACAATCCCAGGGCACCTCACGTGCCTGACTTTATGTTGCAGGCTAACTGGACTTGCTGACCCCTGTATGAGGTTCTTATTAAGGAAGCTCTTGGAGGGTTGGTTCAGACACAAACAACAGATGTAGGGGAGACAGGCACACTGTAACTGTACTGGGTTTACTGATCACATATTTCAGAATATGCACTTCTGGGGGGTGGGCAGGCAGCTTTACGCAAAACAGCATTTGTTGTGCCTTTTCTGGCTTTCAGAATTAGCAAGCTGGTGCCACAGGCAGCAAAGAACTGCTCTAGGTGTGCACTGAACGTACAATTAAAGAAAGGATCAATGTCTTTAAAATGCAGGAATTCAAAAAGTGAATAAGTAGGAAAAGGGATTATGGCTGAATTAAGGGAATTCACAGATTAACAATTATGTTTTGAGAAGGCAGTCAAATGATTTTGGAGCCAGGCCCACTATTCTTACATAGGAATGGCAGCTGCCTCACCCAGTATAAATTCACAGCAGTCATGAGAAAGCTGTCATAGGTCTCAATCCTAAAAATTTTGGTACATGTTCCTTGAGGATTGGGGTAGTGTTGTCTGCAGCTCCAGGTTTGACTTTCAGCAGGTCCAGGCAACTGGGCACTGGAAATGAGAACGCTACAGGGCCTATGTTCATCGTAATGTTGGGTTACTGAGATAATGGGGTACCACACTAACCCTGTCTGCCATTTGTGGTTGCAGGAGACAATATCTGGATCTGTGGGCACACTGTCATGCATTAGACCAACAAGAAGGCTGCCAGATTAGCAGCTGATTTTCCAAGGCTGAAGCCATATGCCTTCAATGGTATGGCAAAAGGGGCATGTTATGGGATCAAATTATGCCCCTTCTGCACTCACTGATGCCTGAGCTGTAGCCCATAGAGCTAGCTTAGCATTTTAATTTTACTTAGCAGTAACGTAAGGAATCTAAAGACCTGTATTCTCTGAGACAGTGGCTTAAGCATAAGTGAAGCATAGGTCTAGGATGCTTAGCATAGACAAAATGGCCCGACCGTTAACTTAGATTTTGGGGAACTGGTAATAGCTTCCTTGAGAGGGGATTTGGTACATAACCGTAGGAATACTCAATTGATACTAGGCTTTCAAGAAAGTCATTGATAGATGTTTAACCAAAAATTTGCTTTTGCAATAGCTGACACATATGATAATGAGCTAAGAGGCATTCATATGTTGAGCTATAGGATACAGGCACCAAATATCAGGGTGAGGAAGTTAGATATGGACATGGGAGGCTGGGCATCTGAATTATTATTCATGACAGTCCCCAAGGCCCTCTAATAGGTCAGGCCACCAGGTAGGAGAGGGCAAGCTTTTTATCAGTGACCCTTAAGCTCTTCACTGTCATTATCCTTCACTGACCTTCAGGCATTGGTGTCTGGACCATCAGACTCATTTAGCATGCAAGGGAAAGGGCTGAGTATAAGTGTCTCTTACCACCAGATCCCCAAGGAAAAGGTGAGAGTATAAGTGTAATGAGCATATGCAAGGAATGACACTGAAAATAACCCTAATATTATATTACTGCTATTTGTTTGGGTGGTTTGGCGTTTCCTTGTCTTTACAGATTAAGTTAACAAAATTGGCTAAGGCTTTGCTTTGCCCTCAGTATAAGTGTCTTTGCTATGCACAAAGGGGTTCCTCACAAGACACTGAACTTCTCCAATTTAATTCTGTTGTATCCGATTCTGGTACTAGAACCTCCCCCCCCCTTTATTAAATTAGTATTAATTTGAAGCCAATGCAATTATTAACCATTGAAAAAATCAAGCCATATAAGAGAAAATTACTTCTGGGCTTGTAACAAATTGAATTTAAATGTTCAGATCCAGAGGGATGTGAAGCTGATTAGGCAGTTGTGGCCACACACATTATGGTTTGGTCAGAGATGCTCACAAGGCAAGTTTGGCAGGGAGCCATTGAGCCAGCCCACGTCACCAGGGCCCCCAAAAAATTTGAACATGAGGTGACCAGGGTAATTTTTGGGGTTAGTGGTTCAGTAATCACACAGAGGGACAGCCAATTCACTAGGCCCAACATCTTTTTTTAGGGACAACTGAAGCCATCTGTTGGATGCAGGGCCCAACATTTGGCTCTACGACCTTAGGGAATGGATCAGGTGGGAAATAGCTACAGGGCAGCATGGTGGGGGGGGAGGGAGGTGCAAATATACTAAATGTGGCATCCCCAGTGGCCCCTGTACAGTGTGGGTAAGACTAAAAAGTGACCAGCTCCCAGAGGTAAATGAGACCTGGTATTTCGCTGGAAGTCCTTTTGCCTAAGGGAAAAAGAAGAGACCTGAAATCCTTCCTTAGTGGTCTCTACCCCTTACATGCCCGCACACAGTGGGAGGTGGAGGGATTCATGAGTGAGCTGAGTCCAAGAAGTCAACCCTGAGTAATTTGCTTCATGGTGGGAATTCTGAACACTGCACTGGACCCAGTTAAATGCCAATTAAATACAGGGAACATAATACCCCTCCCAGCATTAAGGCTGCAACCTGCTGTTTAAAATCCAACCTCAATGTTTGTTGATCAGTTGCCTGAGTCCTCTGATCAATGGGATTTGATAAGAATGTACGTGAAGTTTTAGAACTAATTTTTTTTAGGTTGGTTTTGTTTTGCTTTGGGGGAGGGGGGGACGCTGTACTGGGGAGGGAGGCTAGCCTGATTGTCCAGCAGTAGCATGGACTATTTGCATTTGGGAGCACCAATATTAATTTGTTCCTTCACTCCTGGTTTGGGAACATTGGGAAAGCAATGTTTAGCCCTGATGAATGACACTTTGCCTGTAATAAACCTTCTAACAACAATAATATAGACTGGATCCATAAGGAGTCATATGCTGCCCTTCTTGGCCAGATGCACAGATAAGCAAAATGTCAAATGTGTCAGTGAGTGGGGGAAAAAAAAATCATCAGGCCGCCAAAATAGGCTTCTGTGAAGGAAGAAAAGTAATTCTCTCTAACATGAAAGCCACATGCCAAGGCCTCTGCACTAACGTATCTTTTTAAATCTTTGCCACCACATTTCAGAGGTGGTTCTTAGTTTTGGTTATCTGATCCCATTTTCCCCCCCCACCACCCATGATTATGAATTAGAGTTGAGCAAGCATAATAATACTAGTCCCACTGGCTCTTACTACTAGGACTAATGTGGGTGACAGCCCAGAATTTTCTTTAGGGGATTTACTTTATTTAATCTACTTTAGGGTTTTATGCTGCTACCCCTAAAAGCAATCCGAACGCCTTCCACGTAAAACCAGTTAGCAGAAGTTTACTTAAGGGAGACTCTGCCTCTCCTCATTTTTCAGGGTATCAGGTGTCAGTACAGACCCTGTGACACTGCTGGAAGATAGGAGGAGCAGGCAAGGGTATGTATTTTAGGTATGTAGGTTTGAAAAAAACGTTAACATTTTTAAGTAAAGTATTTTTCTTCATGTTTCTATCCACTTCTTAAAAAATTTTATATCTTGTTTTTGCTACTTCCCACCTTGAAATTTAGTTGCTAGTTACTGTATTTAACACCTTTACTCACCTTCAGAGCTCGCTGAAAAGTGCTGATGGACAACAATGCCAGGTCCTGCTGCTCCTCTGCATAGCGCATCAGATAAACATACACTAGTTTTTTGATCTAAAAAAAACCCAGAATATAGCATCAGAGAATTTAAGAATTCTACAAGACCACGTAGAAATCTAAACTACATTTCAGAGTGGTAGCCGTGTTAGTCTGTATCAGCAAAACCGAGGAGTCCTTGTGGCACCTTACAGACTAACACATTTATTTGGGCATAAGCTTTCGTGGACTAAAACCCCCTTCATCAGACGCATGGAGTGAAAAATACAGTAAGCAGAATATATATTATAGCACA